CCCTCCTCCCGCCTCTCCTCCCGACAACGGAATATATATATGTCGTACAACAGTATATACGTCCATACAAAATTAGCGACGTCGATCTCTGGCGAAAAAGGAATTGCAATACAGTCCGCTACTAAAATACCATAGAAACCTGTACTCCTTAAAGGATTAAATAAATACACTATGTACACGCGCGTACGCCGCGATTCTCGGCAGCACACGCGTATACCATATATACTCTTTTTCTTCATTTGCTTCTCTTCTCTTCTCTCCTCTCCTCGATAACAGCCATGATCCCTCATCGTGGGAGAGTATGGCTCGACTAGAACGTTTGTTACTTTTTTTTCTTTCTTCCTTTCTTTCTTTTGAATTGTATTATTTTAAGGCAAACTCACTTTTTCCTCGCACATGTCTTTCCCTCCACCCTTCTTCTTTCTTTCCTTCTTCGTCTTACTCTTTCTCCCGATTGATTTTCTTCCTTCTCTTCGTTGGGGGACGCACTCGCAACAAGCACACTCGCGCTCTCAGGTACCTATACACGCATACACACGCACACGCACACGCATACACATATCCACGCATTGAATACGTCACGCGATCACGTTCGTTGTTAATTGTCTCAGGTCGGGGGTGAACTTATGTGAGTTCCCGGCACAGTCAGAGTTCGTTCTTTCGCGAAATCGTGCCATTTTCCCGATTTCGCTTCTTTGTGTCCTGAAATCAAAATCGGGACCTGTTTAACGGGAGATTCGAGCTGTTCGATGGAAGGAATACGTAAAAAAGTTAAGCTACACCGTTTGGTGTAATTACGGGAGCGAGGCGGAAAGAGAGGGAAAATGCTGTGAGTTAAGTTAGATTAGATCAAGTTCCTAAGAAGAGAAGGTTTAATAAGTTAGGAAGTCAGGCGAAGTAGAGGGCGCGTAACGGGATCAGCTTAACAAGGTGGGAAGAACGTAATGAATTCAATTGTTAGATCAAAGTGACGCAAGGAATTAAAGTAGAACGTTAGATGGAAACGATATAACGAGTTGAGGCTGTTCAGGCAACGAGGTTGTTCAACAAAACAACGAAATTGAGGCGAGATCTTGTTTCTAAGAAGACCACCCAACGTGCCAGTGACGAGCACACAGACGAGGTGAAATAGCGTTTGAAATTTCACGCGAATATTTTCGATACAAGGGACAAAGCATTTCTCGTATTCTCCGCTCCGAACGAAATCACTGCGAAGAATGCCGTGTAAAATAGCAATGTAAGTAAGCGTAAACATCTTCGTGACTTGCGTAACGTTCGTGAGTTAGCTCGAATGTAGGTCGAGGGTGATGTCGTGCGAAATTGAACACAAAAAGCTGTCGGCACGGCAGCGATCGTTCGCTATATTTAATCTTGGCTTGCGCTATCTCCGCAATAAGCTCCCGGATATTCGGTCATATTACTCGCGTAATTAACTCACGGGGCTTGCGAGAGCGCAGTAAAGAAGCCGCTGAGAGATAACGCGACGAACAATCGTTACGTGGGCCAAAGGACATCGTCTCGAGGATTTTATCATCGAAGGATATACCAGTATCGAAGGATATGACGTTAGTATTCTTGAAAGTTTGTCCATCTCGGCTATCAATGAAACTGTTGAAATTTATATCAGGCCTAGCCGAACTGTGCGGAATTATTCTTTAAAGTAGATTTTGAGGTAGATAAAAGAAATTGAGAGATAGAGCAAGTAAACATCTCATTAACATAGATGTATGATAAAAATAAATGAGTAAAATAAATCTCTATGGCATTTCCAAGCTCTTTAATATGCATGAAATTATCGTTTACGGCAGGTCTACCAACGACTCGTGGCTGGCTACATTATTTTTTGCACCAAATAATCTTTATACTACTGATTACATTTAGGATTGATTACAATTAGGATGAAAATTAATTAGGATATGTAACCATCAACATTGAAGTAGATTTAAAAAATGGAACGACAGCAAATATCTCATTGGCATAAATTGTGATAAAACAAATAAATGAAATAAATAGCACTTGATTCCTCTTATTTTTTGCTTAGATACGACCCGGAGAAAATTGCGGTTCGTTAAGGTAACTCCCAGAACGACTTGGGCTGGTCTGACCTCATTTATATGAATGAATTCGGCAAATTCGGTGAAACTCATTTCCCGCATAGCTTCCAAGCAAAGTCTACCACTCGAGAGAAGTACAAAGGGGAAGTCGGAGAGAAGCGTAGAAGTACTCACCAGGTAGAAGTTTCGTTGAGCACACGCCTTGGCGGACGCCAGAGCTAAGATACACGCAGTGGATAGGCCGACGTAGTGGCGTCGCACGGGCCTTGATTTAGAAGCCCTGGATCACGCCGTAGGCCTCGAGGGTGGACATGATGAGGTAGAAGAGCCAGAGGGAGAACAGGAACACGGATGTGATGACCTTCGGTATAAAAGGCCCACCCAACTCGCCGCCGATCGACTTCGTCCGCCTCACCAGCAGCACCAGGATCACCAAGCAGGCTTCAGTGCAGAACAGGGTAACGGAGAAGGCCAAGCTGCGCCACAAAAGACGTCATTTGCTTTGTAATTGCGGCAGGACGGCGTGGAAGCGATGCGTTTGCGATTCTTGCCTGTAGGCTTATTCTGTAACTTTCAACGACAGCGTAGTCGTCGTTGCATTCATCGTTGTGCAACTTCATTACCATACACCACACCTGCGCAACAACAACGTAACGCTAACGATATTATCGTTAAAAATTCCAGAACCGATCATTGATCAATACGAGTAACCGAATTGGCATTACCCTATTTTCCTATGGGATCCATGTTGAATTACACGTCTCGAGAGGGTGTATTAATCTGACAACGATATCCTATGTCCATGCATTTAAGAAATTCGCATTCAACGGAGGAGCGTAAAAATCTGCAAGGGGGGGAGGGTTGAGGAGACGTTCTATTCTTTCTATTTTCCCGCGGAACTTCTGGGAACTGCGAACCGGTGATTTCGCCGAGATTTCTCGCCCTCTCTGAAGACGAATGGGAAAACTTCTGTAGCGCGACCGCGGCGCAGATTCATTCCGAGAACCGAGCGTCGGCGGCAACGTCGGAACTTAAACTTTCGTTAAAAATCAATCGCCGGATGCGCACCCACCCGGCCCACCTAGGGCGAAAGCGATCACGGTCGTTATGGTACCATCTGCGCCTACACGATGGACTACAACTCGAGAACACGTTCCGCGTGCAACGTGGACGATCGATCACTCCTCAGGAACTGTCGCTGATTTTTCAAATCATGCTCGGCAAAGTATCTCTAAGCGACGGGGATGCATTCTGTTGTGTAGGGGAGCTTTTATCGCCGGAGGTCCCGGTGGTGAAAAGTTACCCTCGAAAATCGTCATGATCCAGCCGCTTATGTCGGAGGATTCACCCAAATACGTTACGTTCATCTTGGAATATCTCTTATTGTCCGATCACAATGCTACAGCTACAATATCAACGGAATTATAGCAGTCCCATATGGTCCACTAAATCATAGCGGTCCACTAAATGGAAAGCATATGTCATCTATGTGCAACGGTTCGTAGTAGCGAATGTATTGTCCTCGCGAGACTCGTCGCAAGGTGAGACGTTATCGTGATGGAAACAAAAGATCCACGCTGTAGCAACGTTCTTATCAGTGGTGGACAAGAGGATTACCACTGGATAACTGTTGGAATTGAGCAGCCGACAACTTGGCGATCAGACTGAGTCGAAATGATGGGGACCTGACACGATAATCCGATTGATTGCAATGCGAAACATTTTCCGCGCGTGTATTCAATTTCCGGGGAAATGCCGACGGATATGAGGCTAGATACGATGTCCCATCTTGCGAGCGGCAACCCGTCAAAATCCTCGTAAAATGGGATACGATATCAGCGTCGTAGCATGGAAAATTGAGAACGCCGTAAAGCAGAGGTTCTCCAGAGGTGTGTTCCACGCGCGCTGCTGTTTATCGTGAAAAATGCGAGGAATCGCACAGCGCGATCATAAAGATCGAGGAACCCCACGTTTCTCGAGGAGAACAGAGTCCTTGAGGCACCCTCAGAGAATCAATTAAAAGTGGCCTTGACATGCCGGCAAGATTGAATTCCGACGTAAAATGTTCCCGAGACTTCGGAAAACAGCCGGACAATTCGGCGGCTTCCGTGGAAAAGCTCGATCAATAATGAATCGGTTTCGATGATTACACAAACTCTGGCGCGGCGTTTATCGACTCGGCGTCACGCCGGCATCTATCTATTAAGGCGGACAAACAGCTGATTGGGATATTTCCGTCGATACGTCACCGATGGCAATTTCATGTTGCGCGGGAACAAAGGCGGTCGCGTTAGCCACATCGTCGAGAGCAACGCTGGCCAAGTTGCTGTCGCGATGCTTTGACCAAATTTCTTGAGAATAGTTTCACGAAAGTGATCGTAAATGGGGGATGACGGCTGGTTATTGAGGCCACGTCGCCATACTTTACCTGATCTAACGTCGTATCGTTCTACATCACCCTGTACCTTATACGATTGCGCCCTGACGACGACGTTAAGCCAGCTGTGCACCGGAAACGCGCCCGTAAATTGCGCCGCGAGCGATTGAAAACAGTCGCGACTGTTAATTTCGCCAAATACATTCGAGACAGCCAAGTACTTGAAGCAAAAGGCGGCTTTTTTTAATTAAGAAATTACACGTATGTCCCGTCGCAAATTTGTGCTAATTATCTTCAAGGTAGTGTTAACAATATAAAAATTTAAAATATCAATTTTACTATTCGAATATCTGATTAATCGAATATTGTTTAAATATTCAAGTACCAAGTAGTATCTGAGCACCCGTGTACTCAATACTATCTGATACTCGCATTTCTTTGGTATTTTCTCGAGTAGTTATTTTTTCAATTACGCGACTGCTCAAATATCGGATTTATATCATGTACATAGTATCTTCGACAAACAAAATTACTTGATGCGAAAATCAATAAGAAATGGTGAATGAGTATTACGGATATCGCCCGCGACTTTTGGTTTTACTCAGATACTCGATTATTCCAGATGGAACCCGAACACCCAAGTGATTTTCAAGTATCGGATAGTAACCCAGTACATACAGAAAAATATAATTTTACTACTGAGAAAAATGATTATTCACTTTCCTTCTTTTGAGTAAAAAGTTTTATCTTCAACAAAAAATATTTTCTTAATAATATACGCAAAGAAATAATTTAGTAGTAGTTCAGTTAAATTTTAATGAATGATTCGAATTTGACTAATCATTTTGCTGTCATTGCTAAGAATTGTTAACACAAATAAGATATATTCGCTCTCTGTAAGATATAGATTTATTAGCTGCAAAGTAACAAATTTATAACCGTTTAAAGCCGATATCAAATTTATGCTTGAAATTTTCGCCTGCATACTCTGAGAGCAAAAATATCTCAAAAGTAATGAACATTTTATTTGAAAAGTACTAACAGCATATATTCAATTACATACACTAATATGAAATATTTTTCAAGTAAGAAAATATGCATTTTCTTAAAACTTTAAGAAAACTTTAGTTTTTCATGAAAAAACAATTACTTATTCCATTTAAATAAAAGGATTTATAGATTTAAGTAAATATGCTGTTAATATTCACCAAATAAATATTTGCTAATTTTTAGATATTTCTCTTTCAGTATATGTGACGCTCCCGCGCCGGCGCACTAGATTAGGGTGAACGACCGCGTCGCCGCGGCGAGTATATAAGAGAGCGAGACAGCTGTCCTCATCTCAGTGTGAGTCGCGGAGTGGGGGTAGACGGGCCGCCGCGTGTCGCCGCGCAGTGCGCGAAGTAAAGGCCGTGGCACACAGAAAAACTTAAGCCCATTCTACAATTGCATGAACGTGATTGTAAGTGATTGTATGTGATTACGACAACCAATCAGAATAAAGCAATCAGTAAATAAAATATTCGGATTGGTTGACTCTTACGATCACGACTACGCTTTCGCAATTGTAGAATGAGCTTTAAGCAGTAAGACGTAAGCAGTAAGCAAATTGACCAATCACAGTCGTTGATTCTTGGGCCGTAAGAAGAATCAATGACTGTGATTGGTCAATTTGCTTACTGCTTACGTTTTACTGCTTAAGTTTTTCTGTGTGCCACCAGCTTAAAGGCCATCACACACAAAATTCCGTAAGGGCCTCCATACACAAATTTTCGTAGCCGTAACGTAAGATATACCGCAAAAATTGACCAATTACGATCGAGTATTCATCAAAATGGCGACCTTACGATTAGACAATTCTTAACGTCTTACGTTACTGTTATGTCAATTTGTGTGTGAAGGCCCTAAGAACTTAAAACGTAAGTGTAAAGAAATCGACCCCAATCCCTATCGAGCACTCGGTTCTTCGTAACCCCTTCATTATTACGAAGAGCCGAATACTCGGGATTGGTCGATTTCTTTATGCTTATGATTTAAGTTTTTATTTTGTGTGTGATGGGCTCAACTTACGGAAGTGATAACAGCGCATTACTTTCTCTTGTCGCGTCGCGCCTTATCTGCAGTTCGCGAATGATCTAGAACGCGGATCGATACGATCGCGGATAATTCTACTTGTAGACGCGGTAGCGACTTGAAACAAAGATCATTGGAAAGGAAAAATTACCGCGTTTCCGTTGTACGTGAAATTGTCCTCGTGTGGAACAAGGATCAAACAACGTAAATGTAAGTACGAAATATATCGGTTTCTTGTGTTTGTGTTAATATACACATTAATTGTTAATCTATATTAAAAACTAATGGGAAGTTTTGGTTTCAATTTATAACTCGAAGCGTCAGTTTTGTGTTTTTTACGAGTATAAAATGTAATTTAAAGAGAAGGCGAAATTATAATAATTGGAAGTTTCTACCTACCAGCAAATATTTTTTACCGTAGTATCCAAGTTCAAATAGTTAATAAATTTAGCTTCAGTAACAACATTAACTGTTCTTATTTCGATAACACAGCTTAGCTGCCACAGCTATATTTCAGTTCGGGCGTAGCCCTTTTTTGCATATAATCTTCAAATATACTCATTACAAATTAAAAAAAAACTTATTATCATATAATCAAAAGACTAATTTATTCTCCTTATAAGAACATTATAGGATTTTATAAAAGACAAAGTTGACTCGACTCTACATAATAAGTAAACCGAATCTTTTTAACTTAATATTCTTCATCGAAATATTAAAGTTATTAGGATTTAGAGTGTATTTTGAATAAATTTGATACTTATAGTAGAAAAACCTATGATAAATTCGAGGACATATAAACTTATAAAATATTATTGAAACAAGTAACATTTTCTTGAATGCAATATTTTTCTATTTGCAGTACTAGATAAAGTACCGTTTGAGTACGAGTTTACAGTGACAGTACTAGCAAGAAGCGCTCTTATGTTGATCGATCGATGTATGATACGTATATGTATACACGGAGAAAAATAATTTTGCTCTTTTAGCAAAATCGTCGTTGCTACTGCATATTCATGACATCAAAAAATTTGTTGACATAACTAATTTTACAAATTATTCGTTATCAGAGCAGAAGTAATTTCGTTGTCAAGATAGAAAAAAATTTGTTGAGTGTATTTGTCCTAAGAATCACGTTAATTTACTATTGATGCAAAATAATGTATCCTTAGCAAATTTATTTGCTATTGGAGCAAAACTGCAACTGCTTATATAAATCCATCATGGTTCTTATAGCAAAATAATTTGTAGATTCAGCAAATTATATCCAGCAAATAGTGATTAGTACTCTTAGCAAATTATTTTGCTGTCCATATAATAACGAAAAGATTTTGCTAGATCAGAAAATTTGTTGGGACAGCAAATTATTTTTCTCCGTGTAGGAATAATCGTTTGAGGATTGCAATTATAATAATTTTTATAGAAAAAAAGCAGTCATAAATTTTCTCATTTTTTTTCATACTCACTTGCCGGGTTCGACGAAAAACGTCTGGTTATTGCAGGCATGGTAAATAGCGGCGATACTCCACGCAACGCCGATCCCGAGGAAGACGTTCACCGCGTTACTGCCGGTCACATTGCCTACACTCGCGTCAGCGTACTTGTCTTGACAGGCGGCTACTTTGCTGGCAAACGTGTCTGAAATGAAGCGCGCACATGGTGAGTCACTTTACTACCGTTATATTCGCCAAGTGTCTCTCACGTCTCGTAAGAAATTACAGCTTTGAAATTCGAATACGCGCGAGATCACCTCGTCATTTATTCAGCTCTTTAAATGATTGAATTAAAAGTCCAGCTCGAAAAGGGCTAACGGGAGATTCGATTACACATAGACCGGCCAGAGGGGCTATTAACTTTGATCCGTATATCCAATATCCCTTTTTATTGCGTCCCGTGTATAGCGTGTAGCGTTTCATTCGCAATGTTGCGTGAGATAAAACTCGCGCTTCATACTGCCGGGCCGCGGTTTATGCATACCGGCGAGAATCGGAGAAAGAGAGATCGCCGAGTGCGCTAAAGCCGTTGCTGCAGCGCGATTTGCGGCGGGTGTCTTGGCATTGCTCTCTCGGACACGCAGTTTGTACCAGTTTGCAGTTTATGGCAAAGCGAGTTCGGCCACGAGCGATGTCGGGCAGCAAGGTGAGCGCGCACGGTATCGTCGTCGTCGTCGTGATATAAAGCTGGGTAAGAAAATTTCGCACTGCCGAGCTGCGGGGAAGTCCGTGGTACGTGATGTAATAACGTGCGGCAAAACGTGCGGTCGGAATTCAAATCGCGTGCGGTAAACGCGACGGTTTTCCGGAATTACGTTTCAGGACAGATGTGGCTGAAAATGACCGAAAATTTCCTCCTATGGAAAACCATCTATCGCTCGGCGAGAGCACAGCGAGCTTTCGTCGATTGATCTGATTTTTCAAGAGGCGCGATTTTTATACGAGGAATAAGTTTGATTGAAATAACATGGCAATTAACGGACCAAACGCTTTTTGAATAAGGGAAACAGAATTCCTGATTCTTAGAATTTGAATTCGGTTTATAAGAAGCAGAAATATTCTGTTTCTTTCAATCTTCAAAACTTCCTTCAAAACGCGTTTATTTCGTTCATCATGTGGTTATTACGTTAATCCTGACCCATTTTATCAATCGACATCGCGAAAAAGAGAAATGAATTGTTTTTGGTAGGCATAAAGAGATAAGTGAAAGTGATATTTTTTCCTTGAAGATTTCTATCTCGCGAATAAAAATGTAAATGCGAATGTTTCCAACAGGGCCTTGAATTCAACTTTGCTTTTACTTTGTTGTTCGTTTTTCTCCGTATGTAAATTACTACGAAAAACGGCAATGTTAAGCTTTCATTTTAGTAATGAGTATAGCAGCATTGTTACATTAGACCGTACCGCATTGAGTACCATCCTCTGCAATTCTATCGTATGCAATTTTGGCACATCCTATACGAGTTTAAGAATCGACGTGCTTTTTTTGCTGGCGATATGTAGAGGAAGGTCGCCAAACCGATCTCGTCGAGCGGTACTTTGGGAGATCTGAGGTACCCTCCGGCATAAATATTGATGAGCTTCTGGAGAAGAAAGTTTCTTGCGGAGTTTCTGGGGGAGAAGGAACACGGAGCAATGAAGGGGAGTGCAGAAGTGACTTAAGCAATCCGGCTAGGAAGCCGTGCATCGTGCAAATTTCGTCGATATCCGCGCGTATTCCTATTGCGGTCTATGAGGCCGTGAGATATTGGCGAAATATTATTTTAGCGCACAAACAAGAAATATGCGATATGCCAAAGACGCTCGTCGCTGAGATCGCGCGCGAAACATGCGTATCGAGGATCGAAAGTCGAGAAAGAGAAGGAGCCTCAATTATCTTTCCGAGGTATTCTGCAGGGAGGAGCGTCACGAGCGCGAAAATAATATTCCGAGTGGAAACTGAAAGCGCGAAATTCCCTGCAAAATTGATTTCCACCGAATCTCTCTGTAAACCCCATCTTCTTCGAAGTAGGGAGAGAAAACGTGCTTTATCCACGCTCTGCGTATAACAGAGTAAAAGCGAAGTTGAACTCAAGGTCGGCTCTCGTTGGAACGTTCGCGTTTATATTTTTATTCGCGAGATAGAAATCTGCGGGGAGACAGCACCAGGAAGCTTTTAGCTTTTATTCTTATTTTAAACAAGAAAAAATTCACTTCTGCCGCTTTTCCGCGATGTCAATTTATTATGTCGTTATGAGCTGTTGCTTACTGCTGTTATTTTGGGAGATGTGTATTTGCACAATTTGCATTTTTATTCGCAAGATGGAAATCTGCGAATCCTGTCTATTAAAAAAAGAAAAAAAAATTTGCCCCTTTTCCACAATTAGCTAATTATCTCATTACGAGTCGTCGTTTACTGCTATCATCGCGGTGGATTTTCGTGATTGAAATGTCAGAGAAGGTTATAAATGTCATGAAATAACGTATAATATTAATATTACGATATAGAGAACGTGAAAGAAAGAAATAACTATCACAACGGTATTTCCAAGAGTGTCGCGCCGACTGAAGGATACGCGACGCCAGGAATAATAACAAATACAGGTACACCAGTACGCAAAAACAAATCAGTCTTTGACGCGACGTAGACGGATCAGGAGGTGTTACGCGTGTTTACCGATTGTTTCGAGTGGTTTGGAGCTTGTGCGATATATAACACGTGTGAGATCATCGTACTGGGATCATTTCTGGGGTAATGGCGACATTCTGGGGTCTTAACGATGATTGTCATTTTTTTACTTTCAGTGTAAAAGTTTTTAAATCTATCAAAAGACAAATACACAGTCTCGAGTCTCTGTATATGCGATATACTGACGGATACAATAGGTTAATTAGGATATAACTTGCTTTTTATTCCAGATCCGCCAGAGCTTGCGGGTGGGTGTGGTTCCCGGGGGTGCAGTTTGGGTGGATGCCGCACCGGAGGTTCGGGCTGAGCAGGGTCGACTCGAATGTAGGTTTTCAGACTTCCAACGATCTTGTGTTAAAATTGTCGCGATCGGAAAACCGCTTGCTGGTGTAAAAACCGTTGAGTCGTAACGATCGCAAAAGGCTTAAGGCCAATTCTACATTAGTTGCAAATTACAAAGACACAAAGAAATTGACCAACATCACAGTCAAATTTTCTTCAATTGCAAGGAGAACGATCGACTGTGATCGATCAATTTTCTTGCAGCCTTTCGAACTTGCAACTAATGTAGAACTGGCCTATCACGCTCGCGTCTACGCGCATTATTCTCGTGAATCCATTAACTCTCAGATCTAGTAGGCAAAATTTACAATACATATATTTGTCGTTTCTTCATAAGTTGAGACTTTTGCAAATGAGAATCTCGTTTGTCGACAAACAATGATCGCAAAACTTTCTTTGCTTCAGATCTGTATCAGCCGAGTACGATTGATCCTGCATTCCTGATATCTCGGTGAGTGAGAAAAATAGATACGAAAAGTGAATAACGGTGGGCTATTGTCGGTGGTGGACGTTAATAAAATCTCATTGAAATCAGCGCGGTTTACTTACAAGTAAACCTACCAAAAAGGTATACTCCGACTTCTTTCTAATTTGACACAAATGTAGAAGTACAAAAAATATTTAGATCATATTTTTTCATTTTGGCCCACTTGAGTTTTGCGGGCAGTTTATAGCTTTGTAATGTTCGCACTCCTATCATCAATAAATACAATAAAAATGCATAACAAATAAAATTGAATACAAGATATAGTTAAATAATTTTAACAAAATCGGCATAGCTGAGATACGAACCATTCTAAATTTTTTTAGCCGAGATTCGAACCGAAATATTTTAAATCTGTGCTAAATTAATCAAAAATAGTCCGAATCTCGGCCAAACTGAGAGAAATCCGGCAATTTTATTTAAAATTTTAACAAAATCGGCATAGCTGAGACATGAACCATTCTAAATTTCTTTAGCCGAGATTCCAACTGAAATATTTCAAATCTGTGCTAAATTAGTCAAAAATAGCTTGAATCTCAGCCAAACCGAGAAATTATTTGTATAAATAATTTTTTTTCAACTTTTTACATGTTTTGTTGAAACATTTTATTATTTATACAAATAACTTTACACATTTGACTTAATAATTTTTTTTCAACTTTTTACATGTTTTGTTGAAACATTTTATTATTTATACAAATAACTTTACACATTTGACTTAATAATTTTTTTTCAACTTTTTACATGTTTTGTTGAAACATTTTATTATTTATACAAATAACTTTACACATTTGACTTAATAATTTTTTTTCAACTTTTTACATGTTTTGTTGAAACATTTTATTATTTATACAAATAACTTTACACATTTGACTTAATAATTTTTTTTCAACTTTTTACATGTTTTGTTGAAACATTTTATTATTTATACAAATAACTTTACACATTTGACTTAATAATTTTTTTTCAACTTTTTACATGTTTTGTTGAAACATTTTATTATTTATACAAATAACTTTACACATTTGACTTAATAATTTTTTTTCAACTTTTTACATGTTTTGTTGAAACATTTTATTATTTATACAAATAACTTTGCACATTTGACTTCATATTCATAATCAGCAAACCAAAAACACCTATATTTAAATGTTTAAACAAAATGTGTAAAAAGTTCAAAAAAATTATTTATAGAAATAATTTCTCTGTTTGGTTGAGATTCGAATCATTTTTGACTAATTTAGAAGATTTGAAGTATTTCGGTTGGAATCTCGGCTAAAAAAATTTAAAATGGTTCGTGTCTCAGCTACGTTGATTTTATTAAAATTATTTAACTATATCTTGTATTCAATTTTATTTCTTATGCATTTTTACCGCACTTATTGATGATAGAAGTGAGAAAAGCTATAAACTGCCCGTGAAACTCAAAGTGAAAAAATGCCAAAATGAAAAAATATGACTTAAATATTTTTTATATTTCTATATTTGTGCCAAATTAGAAAGAAATCGGAGTGTAAATTTTGGATAGGTTTACTTGTCAGCTCATAGCTTTTTGCATGTTTGTGTGTATGCTTGTATCGTTCATCAAAAGATACGCGTTTGAAATAATTAAAGGATCTCCTTTCAATATCACCTAACAAAGTATTTTAAC